TCTTAAGTCATTTTTCTTCTCTTGGATGTTTCCTTTGACATAATGTGTGAGTACTGCGAGAATCAAAAAGTGTATTGAGGAGTTATTAGTGGAAATTTTAAACATCATTTTTTGAGCTTAAGAGAGTGCAATCACAGTTTTCTTTTCTCGCCTTTGGAAAGCAACCGATCTGTTTGTAGACATCACAAGCTCTTTTTACATTTATCAGAGTCTAATTGCCAGGAACTGAAGATCGCCAGAAATTGCACAAAATAACAAGAGACCTGGAGACATAAGAACCTACGACTGATGACACCAGATACTGTCAAACATTTCACCTACCTTGCATGTAATTCATCCTAATAAAAGTTTTTTAAAAAAGGAAAAATAAGTAAATAAAAGCGTGGCACTGAGTTAACGCCATGGTAGCAGCCACTGATCCCGCTATTGTTCTGTTTATTATTTCGTTCTTATTGCCGAATGGGAGATTTGTATGGAAAAATATTGACCGACGCCGTGAGTACAGACCTCACTGCGTTCGTTCTGTACGCATGACCGAGGTCAAGATTCCCCTATACAGACCGATTAAGCTCGGTTAAAAAGATGTTTATTATATGGTACGGTTACACCAGACAATTTCACTTCGCTGAAGACCGCTCAGGTAGCCAGTTTGTAATCACTATCATTTTGCTTCCGGATATGGATGAAAACTTTGCTCAGAAGAAGGTCGAACTCACTGACAGGAATGTTTCAATTTCTCTAGCCTCTTTTATTGACTAACAAAATTTCGTACGGGCGTTTAATTCGCTAAGTTTTGTATTGAACACTTTCTACGTCTGGGCTTGAAAAAGGGTCTCAATTTCGTATTCAGCTGGTGTTTTCATTACCTGACTTACATTTTAATTTACCAAAGTTTGCTTGCTCTTTTTATTTTTATTTTTTCTCGTTGTCTTCGGGCTTAATTCCATTTAGTAGTTTTAGTAGAACTGCAAGCCACATGATTTTTTTAGTTTTTTTTTTTTACCAATTTTCTCACGGCGAAGGTAAAAGGTAGATCGATCTAGATGCCAGCCTAGATTTTAAAATTTAGGGCACCATGCATTCAACCAAGATTTCCGGAAATCTCGGTCTAAAACTGAATGGATCAATTCGGTCCAACAAGAAAAGTTTCGAAAAAGCCGATTCACCTTTTGCGTGGACCTTTTCTCGGTTGGGCCAGTCCGATCGATTTTGAGCATTCCATTTGACCGACCCATTCTCAATTCCAGTAGCTGGCGGTATACTTTCTATGTTCAACATGGAAGAAAACAATTATCACTGCAGATTTTGTGGATTGTTAACAGCGGATTTATCAGTGTTACTAGTACATTCATGTGCACTTACAACAGGTTGGCAGCTGCTTCGCAAGCTAAGTGTATGTTTTGACTGTTAAAAACGGTTTATTCCTGAGAGAATTTCGAATGTTGTTTTCGTCATTCGAAAGTGGTGTTTGAACTCAGCCGGCGAATATCTGGGAACAGTTTGCTCAAAATGACTTGTCATAAGGGTTAAATTTCTACGAATGAAACAGCTCGCACAATTATATCATCAGTTGATAAAGTCGAAATCGTCATCTAACTCTAACATCCAACATCCGCACTTTTAACTAAGAGCGCGAAACTCTTTTTGTGAGTGGAATAGAACGAGACTGTCTGTACGCGCCGCAATCCATTCGCCACCAAGAAACTTTTGAACCTCAGACAGCCCTGAATTTTTTGGCCATGGTTCAGTGGATCACGCCCCTAGGCTGCGGTCAACTTGTCTTGTTGATGTCATGTCTGTAACGTAACTTTTGTTTAGCTTTCTAGTTTTATGTCTTCAATTTGACACGTTGTTTGAAACAACCTAAATAAAAAAGGTTTTCTTTATATTTTTTGGTCAGTGTTCGTGTTTCACTGTAATTTTTCTAAAAAGTTGTTGGCATTTAGTTCTGTTTCCTCTCAGGTCTTGGTATATGTTCCCAATTTCACAGGTTATTTGACCTTATTTTAATTTACATATCATACCTTGAAAAGATTTCTTTGAGTCTTCCTCTATAGGATTTAATAACATTTACGAGATGTTTCCTTTCCTAGCTTTGAGCGTTTCTTAAAAACGTAGGAAGCACCTGACTGACGAGTCAACGGTTTTACTTTTAACTTCTATTTATGACAGATTTGATGCTTGCTATTTTACAATATTTTTCTGTAGAAAATCGGAGCACGTTCTGCGGTTTTTTACGTAACTTTTCTTCCAGTTAACTTTTTCGCCTAGGAAATACGAATAAATCTTTGAGCCTGTGTTAAAAACTAAGAGGAGGTTTTGGTTGGACCATCCACTGCTTCTATACTAATGACTGTTATTTGTGTGTTGTGTTTGGAGTTTAGTCACGTTCATGTACGATGTTGTTGAGATATGGGTTAAAAAAAGTGTACTGCATGTTTGCATGTTTTTCTCTAAGAAAATGTTCCAGTAGCTCGGTTTTTGACTAAAATACTGTTTTAACACGAGAAAATAAATTCATATCCCTAAATCACCGTCTAATTTTTGTTTCGTTTTGTTTTTTTTTTTTAGAGTTGAACTGACTGTTGGCGCAAACAACCGTGAAAAAGCGGGAAATTAAATAATGCGATCAATATGGAAAATACCCCACTTCAGTAGACTGCGAGCAATCCCTCTTTTGCCGGAAATCTGCGAGGAAAAACGCAAACGAACTGCGGTTAGCAGCACAGGCGTTGCTCGTCTTCCGAAGTCTGTGCTACTCGCGGCTTGCGGTTTCAACGCGCGTCTCTGATCGACCCTCCTGTTTCTGGTTTGCGTTCTTCCATCGCCGATCTTCGACTTAAAGTGAGACTGCTCACAGTCTATACGCCATTCAATTGCTGCATATGGTTTCGCATGAAGTTTACTAGTGACGTATTTTCCAGTTAAACACTCGTGCCTGTATAATACTAAATTATAATAGATTCGCACAATTAACTCTGATGGTAATTAACAATTAACTGACTTCCAAAATTGCAAATCTGCAAAATAAATGCAATACTTTGATATTGGTTTAGTTTCGTACCTCTCAATGTATCATGGTCAAAACCACTTCCTTGTAATACGGTCGGATTCATATCTAATGACGCGACAAAAATCTGAATTAGTCTTTGCTGTTCAAGATGTATTTCGACCCTTACTATTAATTTATCAGCAATCTGCTCTTAAGATTTT